TTTAATTTGAATAATGTCCTAAAAAAATAAGAATTTATTAGAAAACTCAAATTGAAACTTTTTTTAAGAAAACATAATATGAAATAGAAGAGAATCTATTCTCTTTCTCTATCGTTTTTTTAAAATCGTCCCGCCTGCAACTCCTGTAAACCAACGGATAAAGTAGATTTTATATTCGATTTAGGAGATTGATGACTTACGCATTCAATGACTTTGGCACTCGACATTCTAAAATATGGGTATTGTACTCTCGGGTCGTCGGGTGAATTTCATAATAGACGCTTGTTGGCATGCCAACCTTCTTTCTCAGGACCTATCTGAAAAGAAAATTTTGTACTTATTGGTTGTGAATATCTGAATAGGACAAATCACCCCGTAGATCTCTTTATTTGCTTCAAAACAAGTGGGTTCGCTCGAGGGCAATATGGATTCTCGATAAGGCTTATATACATAGGTAAATATTTGATATTTTAGTTAGAAAAACATTTCTCTTCTAACACAATTTGAGTCGGATCATTAAGATTGGTTTAGGCTGTAGCTAATCCTAAATTGTAGTTTGCCTGACTAGTGAGAGGCCACATTAAAACAATTAGTGGACCAGGCAAATCCTACCAGGACAAACTAATATCGAGGGAATATTAAAAATATGAAGACTTGGAATTTGTAAATACCATATTTAAGAGCAATACAATTTTATGAGAAAAACAAGTATGTGGATGAATTTAGGTGTCAAACAAGAGGGAATATTTTTTTCATTTGGATTTTTTTAAAAAATAAATATATATTTGTGAGAGACACGTCACATATTCACCTAAAACTGTAAGATGATAAGTGTGTGGGTGCTACTATTTATAAATACTCAAAACTTTACATTTTTAAATAATGTGGATACTTTTCTAGACTACTCATATTTGTTATTCTCAAAAAAACTTAACTTGATTAAGAAATTAGAGTATAAATTAGTGTTTGTTAGTGTCGTTGTTCTTGACAGAATTTTGATGCCTAAGAAATTGGAGTGTAAATTAGTGTTTGTTAGTGCTGTTGTTCTTGAGAGAATTTTGATGCCGGCTAAAGCTCATGTTAAAGATACAATACTGGGACTAGTAGATGGAAGAACATGTACCAAATTTAGAAATACAAAGCACTTCCAAAAGCCTTTTGATGCCCTTATTTCTCTCTTTCAAGACCCCTGGTATGTAGAAGTTTATATTAATTTCTAATTTAGATTCTCTTGCTAATTGAGTCTCTGAGTGTTACAATTGTGTCTTGTACTTGGTCATCTCTTGCATATTACAAAGTATTGGGTTTCGATTAAATGATGGTTGGAAGAGTACCTCTAAGCTTTGGTTTGGTCTGTGTGTGATGGTGATAGTTGCGTTATGTTTGATGTAGCAAGAATTACTGTGTCCATTATCAATCCTACAACATTTTGGATACTTTGGGTCCTCTTTTACACGACAATACTCAAGTTGAATCTATGTATAGCCAAGAAACTAAATGCTTTTAGTCTAGTCCTTGCTGCCACAGACAAATTGGTTTTGGGACTTTAGTAAAATTACTGGTGCAACCATCTTTGAAGTTTCAAGATATCTAGTATTTTGTGTTTTATTAGCTTTATATGGAGCTATGTTGGCTTACAAAATTGAGTTCCCATAATCATGTGAATTGGTATATGTGTGTTAAGGAAATTCTTCTAGATGATTAACCACTTTTAGATATTGAAGATGGCAATTTCAAATCTACTACTACCCAAAAAAATTTGCTGGCACAAAAAAGAAGAAAGTATGTTGGTTGTTTTGCATAGGAAGATACAAACTAATTGGCTTTCATTTTGCAAACACAAAAGTTAAAAGTTAAACAAATGGTAAATAAGAAGATACAAACTAATTGGCTTTATTTTGAAAGCACTAGAAATCAAGCACGCGATTCAACATCTTTTAAGTTGATCATGATGCAGACTTATAAACAATTTGATGAATCATAAGCGATTAAAGAAGCGAAGCTATCACACAAAAGTTAAAAGCTAAACAAATCGTAAATAAGAAGATACAAGCTAATTGGTTTCATCTGGCAAGCACTAGAAATCAAGCACATGATTCAACATCTTTAAAGTCCTATGGAGTATTATTGTTAGAACCCTACGAGAAACATTGCGCCTATGAGCGACTCCCTATAAGGTATTATTGATGAATCCTGCAGGGACCTTGTACCTATAGGAGACTTCTTATGAAGTATATGTTTGAACTCTACGAGAAATGTTACAACTACAAACGACTCCTTATGGGGTATATGCTAGAAGTATACGGGAAACCTTGCGCCTACAGACTCCTTACAGGGTATATGTTGGAACCCTACATAGAACCTTACACTTACGGGGTATTTCATACAAGGTATATGTTTGAATCCTACGGAGAAACCTTGCACCTATAACCCTCCGGGAAACCTCACCCATACGGGAGACTCTCTAATGTATTGAAGAAAAACATATTCAACCCTATCAAAGCACAAACGCATAAACAAATGCACGATCGAAGCAAATATTAGAATTAAAGGGAACAAAAGTATGACTCCACTTAAAAAGGCCGAAACATAAAATAGGTACAAAAAATAATCTACACAATGTTAAAATAAATAAAAAAAACACATAAAATAAGAGTCGTACTCGCCTTGGGCGACTTCAAACAAATCTTCATTTTGAACATTTGTATCGCTCTTTGTGGTCATCGCTGACTTGAAAGGCTAAGTAATCGCCTCCTTTAAGGGAACTATTTTTCAAAAGTCTCTATCTCCTTGTCCAGTCCCTTATCAACCTCATGGTTAGTCTTCTACCAACTAACCATCCACGATATTTTTGAAATAACCACGCCTACCTAAGTTGAATTCTAGATATAGAAGTAAACATGCCCCTACATTTTTTCAAATCACTTCTCTCATACGCGCCCTGTGCTTGGACGACAAGTGTAATGGTATTTACGATTTGGTGTAAAACGACATGAGCAATCCTACGTCGATCTCAAGTTGTACTCCCCGATTTTAGATTTAATAACTTCTTTCTTTCATGCGTCGTGCTTGAGGGGTTGTTATGGTATACTGAGAATTTGCATCCACGGGTTATTCTACCGTGCAAATTTTTAAGACCGACCTCTTCTGACAATCAACCGTTCACAGTAACTTTATAGTGTCACAGACTTTCAACCAAAACAACATAGGTGATGTACCTCATTTAAAAGCTTAACTCTCATTTCAAAAGGCTAGCTTGGCCCAACCAATCTTCCGCTCAAAGCACATTGTCCAATTGCCCCTCATGTTTAAGAAATGTATGCTTTTAGGCTCGTATTTAGAACGGAGAGAACACCCAATGAGTAGGTCGAGCTCTAAGCAGCTTTTGACAATACTAGAAGAGTCAACCCTAAAATAACAATGTGTAAATGTCATCGTCTTCCAATGAAAGCCTTTCGTCTGTACATGTCTTGTGCTTGGGGACTATGTACTAATATATCTAAAAAAACATAACCCCACCCAACTTTAGCTTTCTAAGTAAAAGTCTCGACAAGAATTTAGAGAATATCCTATAAAGAATGACAATCTCGGAGCAACTGAATTGTATATATCCGTTTTATTAGATGGTCCTAGAAAAACATTTCTCTCATACGCGACTCATGCTTGAGAGACTTATAAATATTTGATATTTTAGTCAGTCTCAAGAAATTATTTTGCTCCTAATAGGACTCGTGCTTGGAGAAGTGAGTACGTGTCTGATCTATTTTGGATGGGGTCATCGAGATAGGATGAGACCTGATTGAGACAACTAGTTAATTAGGTCGGTCAAAAACTAGTATGGAGGAAATATTCGAATATGAATATTCTAATACGTGGATAACACATTTATGGTTGATTGATAACTTTATGGTGCAAGATCTAACAATAAAGTTTGATTTCAATTATTATTAAAATGTCACACTAATCATAGACAACCACCTTAATGGTGTTTATTGGACTTTAAGCAATACTTAAGTTGAAAATAATAAAGAAGAAGATGGTCTTCGAGGATAAGTATATACACAATATACAAATTTGTTTGATATACGCTTATTTGAATTGAGTCACTAGTAAAGTTATCACTGGTGTACTTTTACGAGTACAATATCTAAACTAAATTAGGGGGTGGTAAAACAGGCTCGGCCTATTAGACATGTTCGTTTTGCCCATACTTTAGTGAAGAACGAGTCAAAGGTTTAGGCTCATACCCTATGATATGTCTGTTTTATCCCTGTTTTTCTTGCAAGCTTTTGCGAACGGCGCATTTATATAATTTTCTTACATTTTTAGATTTAAAAGAGGCAACGCTTGTAGGTTCGCCTTGCCCTACCCTAATTTTTTTTTAGAGTGGACCAAGATTTTAGGTCCGCACAATCTCGTTTATTTTTAATGGACTTTTGATAAACAAATCTGAACCGGACAGATATACATGTTTGACATATTAATCTAAAAAAACGAAATCCATCTTCACCCGATTTAAGTGTTTTTAAAATTGAAAAGCTTATTTAGATTTAGATTCACTTATTTAAACCATTTGATGATATAAATCTTAAGTTTTTAAATAATTAAATTTATAAAGAAAAAGTTACTACTTAAAATATTTTTATAGGTCCCGAAAGACATTGAACATTAAAAAAATTATATGAATTTCATTTTATCTTTTAGGTAATATATGAAGGAAAAAATGGAATGAATGTGCAATTTTGTAAAATTAACCTTGATAATTATTAGTCACAAACTCATAGTAGAACATAATAAATTACGAGTAATTAAAATTATAGAAAAAATAATTGTGAGTTGAAGATCAAGATCCGCATGAGAAAAACATAAGAAGAAAGCCACCAATCATCCTTAGTTACATATTGTAAAAGTACAACTCATAATTTAAACAATAAGATATAAAAATGAAAACACCAAGGATAGAAAAAAGCAATTCATAATGCCACATTGTTAGGGGATGATTATCCTGAGTAGATATGGACACCAATAGCAAGTAGAAAAATGGTAATGAGTCCAAAGAAGATGATGGTGTGGACCAAGATAGAGATACCACTTGTTTGCATGCTTCCAAAAGCAACCACTCTCCCCTTAGCAGGTAGCTGGAACAGAAGCCCTGGACTTAGTAGAACAAATAGCACCACTGATATAACCACCGGACCCCAATCAGCAGCCATGACTTTGCACTATTTGCTACCTCTCTTTTTCAACAAAATTGTAACTTAATTGCTACTACCTATTGTGTGACTCTTTGTAAGCTGGTTATATAGGAAGCTAAAAGGTGATTCTGATCTGTGTTTGAGGCAATTGATTGAGGGTAATAGAAGCAAGGAATGAATGACAGCTCAAAAAAGGAACATTAACGGAACAAAAGTAACAAAGAAAAGGTAGTTTGTGGCGATGAGGTTCCTTCAACACATTTAGATTCCAACAATTCAAACTGTTTTTCTTTTTTTTTGTTTACAAATTCAAATTTTGATTTTACTGGTCGCTTTTTTTATATTTTATTTTTATAACTTGATGGCTAATTATATTTCCAACAACAATGAAACAAGCATAATTATATATAGATTCAAGTGATACATTAGCAACATATCAAATAATTTAATAAAAATTAATATTATTAATTTTTATAAATAATTAAGTAAATATTTTATATTTCTATATTGATTAAACCTAGAGATGTGTAAAACTTGAAAAATTAGAAGAGCGTTCAATGTGATGCACACTCTCTTCTTTAGATTTGATTACAGTGTGAATATAGTGATATGCAATCTCTCATTTATATTTAATTACATAATAGTGGCAATTGAGAAATTGTAGTTTTTTTAGACGAGTGTGAATAATGGGTGCTTGAAAGAATTAAATAATGGGTGATTGAGCATACTCAAACATTTCAGGAAGGTGGTGGGTGGTTTAGAGTGTAAGAGAAAAGACAGATTTAGGGAAGGAGAATTTGAGCAAGATAACTCTTACCACTCATCAAGATTAAAAGGGAAAGAAATCAATGATCAATTTTATAATTTTCAACGAATTGGGGACTTTGCAGATGAATCTAAGAGAAATCATGTTCCTAAAGACACATAAAATGTAGAGAATAAGACATGCCCGATTCATGGGGAGAGTGACTCTAACTCATACCATATCCTTCTTATGGCAACAATAATAAATGATTAACTTAGAAGTAGAGATATGTGGTATTAAGACACATAATGTTTAATTCACATGGCAATTCATCAGAAATAATTAGTCAAATTTGATGATTCAAGAAAGATGGAGATGATATTTGTTAATAACAAAGTCATTCCATCAGATGGAATGTGTGACGTTTAGGTCAAAGGCAGACAGGGAAATCATACACACGTCATTGATATGTTATATGTTTCGAGCATGATGCGTAACTTATTAAGTATGGGTAAATTTCTTCAGATGAGATTTACCATGCATCTTGCCAATAATCATATGGAGGTCTTTGACGTTGAAACACCCCAAAATTTGCCCATCCCTTTTCTTATATCTTGACTTATGTTTCATATCATTTTGCATTGCCATTAGTGCATAACATTGGTTCTAGACAAGGGATCAAAGTATTTAGTTCAACACTTAAAGGAAGAGTTTCATCTTCAAAAGCTCAACCAAGGATTCATGCTCAACTTTGTGGAAATTTCAAGTCATAAGGTTCCCTCATCATCAAGACGAGTCTCACAACCACTTGAGTTAAGAATTCAAGCATGGATCACCTTCTCCTATCTTGTGAGTAATTGGACTAGGGTTTTGGTTCAAAAGGCATCTATAGCTAGTTCTTTGGGCAAAACATGACTCTAGAGCTCAATACACATCTTGAGGGTCCTCTACATGGATTATGTCTCATCACAAGCCAACACAAGAACTTGAATAAGTGGAAATGATCCTAGGATTTCATCTAGTCAACAAAAGTCAGCTGTGGTTCAATGGGGTCAAAATCTTGGATCTCAAGGTCAACCAAGGGTATATTACATGTTTTCAAGTGATTTCATGGTTTTGGAACAAGAAAAGTCAAGAGGAAACATAAAATCAAGAGATTGGTTGAATTAGAGTTTTAGTGAAATTTTTCTGTGTGAAAAACCCTAAATTCTAGCCATTTTGCAACTTCCATAACTTTCTCATCTTTGACCCAATGGAAGCAAACTTGTTATCAAACTAAAGAGGACATTATGAAATACAAATTTATGGAAGGAATCAAGTCCAAAAGATCCATAGTTTGAGAGATATGATGGGCTAAAGTTTAGAAAATGGAGATTTTGACATTCCAACACTTAGAAAATTTTCTAAGTATGGAAATTCAGCTTGGAGTACCTACTTTCAAGCCTATCTTACATGGTGATACAAGCTTCAAATGAATTTTCCTCTAACATTAAAGTTGTATAGAATTCTCCAAGCTTTCTTTTGAATACTAGAATTCCTTCATTGGATGTATATAACTCAAGTTATGATGTCTCCAAGTTAGAGTTTTAAAGATGTAAAATGGGACAAGTTTTAGGCAGATTTTTGGGACAAATTTCTGAGGCATTTTTCACCAAGTTCTTGACTCCAAATCACTTTTCTTTGAACATGAAAGTTGAAGATCATTCTTCTAGATTTCTAACCATAGCTAGAACTTGTCATTTTACTCATTGTAATTCAAGTTATGAAGCTTCAAAGGAGATGTTACAAAGTTGTCAAGATGCATTTGTTACTTAGAATTTTTCATAGTGTCTAGGCAGATTTTTGGACACAACTTTGGGACACTTTTCCACATGATTCCAAACACCATTTCAACTTTCCATTAACATGAAAGTTACTCCATTCATTCCCTACTTTTAATTGAGCCAAAAACCTCATCATTTGAAGCCATAACCATTGACTTATGATGATTTGAAATAGGCAATGTGAAGTTGCTTCAAGATAAATTTTGGCATGTTTCTTGGCATTCTTCTTGACTTGATCATGCACCCTTTTTTTCCTTGCCATTTCCTACACATCATGTGACAAGATTTTTTCCCAAAACACTACCTAAATAAGCTAGACATGTCATGTATCATTCATGCACCTTCCATTCAGCTTTTTGCCAAAATAAGTAAGTTGTAAAACTTGCTCACCAAGGATAATACCACCCTTCCACTTATTGTTTATTCTGACTCTCTCTTGCCACTCAAGGACAATCACAACACACCATGAATCATGCTAACCCGAGCCGCTCTCTCCCATTTCAAATTTTCACCAAAAATTAACCATGAGTTTTTACCATAGTTAAAGCTCTTTCAACCACAAGAACACCTCATATATATTCCAAAAACCCTAGCTAAGAGAGGCATATATTCATTTCACTCAGAAACAGAACCCTAAACACTCTCACTCAAAGATTTTTCTCCTTCGAGTCTCACTTTCCTAAGATGGTTTCTTCATTTTTTCATCACCATAATCACTCTTCAAGCTCAAAAGAAGGAAGAAGAAGGGTTTGGTGAAGTATTCAAGCAAGCTCAGAGATTACAGATCTCTAGTTTTAGTAACTTTCCTCTTCCTTTTTCTCTCATATTAGAGGCCATGATATGAGCATATTGGTACATCTGAAGCCCTATTGTGGGTATGCAATGTTTGCACATCATGTTGTCTTGATTTGGTTGATTTTCAGTTCGTGAGTTTGATTTTCGTGCTTTGATTTCTCTTTGATTTTGTGCTTGTTTGTGAAAATGAATGGTGGATTCGTGTTCAACATGAAATTCTACGTGGAGAGGTGGTCTTGTTTGGTGTTTCTGGGTAGTTTGTGGTTGCTTCGGTGACCAATACATCGGAGAAGACGACTGGAGCTAGGGCTCCGGCATCTGAAGGTAGAAGAAGGCTGACATGTCATTGACACCTTATTTTAAATTCAAATTATATTGTTTGGCTTGTTTGATTCTCTCCCATTGCTGACTCGGTGCCATGTCAATTAATGAGGTCAGTGTGGCTGGCTGAGTGTGCTAGGGCTTAGTCTGGGCTTTGACCTTTTACTTTCCACGCCCCTAGTCTTTTGGCCCAATACATGTTTGTTCTTGTTTTTAGTTCATTTTGCTTTTGCTTATGCACCCCCACGGTTTATTTCTTCTTCTTATTTTAATTTTTGTTCTATTTTCTTTTCCATTTTTTTAACACTTAAAACTTAATAAAAAATCCAAAAAATTTGTTTCTAGTCCATTGACATGTTGAAATATTTTTCCATATTTTTATTTTATTTTATATTTATTTTTACTATTTTATTTGAATTTATTTTGAAAAGTGCTTTTACATGTTTAACCTTGGCTAGGGTTTTAGTTCTTGGTGTTTTATGCTTATCTTTTTGCCTCAATTTCTTGACCATGTTTTGACATATCATTGATGAATGTTTAAATTTTATTTTTGTGCCTTGATGATCTTTTCTTGAATGATTCCTAATTGGTTTCGTTTGGCCATCGAGATGTGCTCGATTAGTTGTATACATGAGTTTGTTTGGTTCAATTTATGATGCATTTATGCAATTCCCTTTGAGATCTTTTGCACATTTGTTATTAATGAATTTAAATTTAGTTTGAGCTCCTAATTGTAATTTATTTGGTCTTGATCATATTTTTGGATGTTGCATCAAGTTAATGTTGTTTTGACCATGATTTTGTGCATATCTTGACCTAGTTTCTTGAAGTTGTTTCTTGATTGATACATTGGATGTTTGATGACTTTTGTATGCTTTGGTTGACATGTTTAAGGTTATGATCTTCATGTTTAGATTTTCTTCGTATGCTCACTTTGTCTCATTTGCTTCACATGATCATTTGTTTCTCTTATGGATAGCTTGAGAGATGTTTGCCTAACCTTTTGTGCTTGAACTTGAATTTGTTTCTTCTTGAGTTTGGTTGTTGATTTGGATATGAATATGATGTGTATCATTTGAACATGTTTCTGACCTTGATGATATGTGTAACACGGTGGGAGAACTGACTTTAAACAATGTTGCGGATAGCAAGAGTCGCCACCGACTTTTATTTTATCCATAAGGAAAGGTTATAAAAGAACAGGAAAGACCTTAGAGAATATTTTGGGTCCGGGGGGTAGGTTATGAAAAGGGAAGGTGTTAGCACCCTTTTCATCCATGGTTATCCATGGGCTCTTAGGTACTTAAGCTCACTTTTGAATTGTTTTGAAAGTG